TTTATTCAATTTATATAAATTTACATCTAATAAATTGATGAGTAATGTGTTGTTTAATGTTTTGAGCTCGTATGACAGCATAGGCTTTTATAGTTAAAAGCGATAATGCATCTGACGCATTTGTTAAATCATTGAATCATCAAGACCCCACAAAATTGTGGTTTATATATAAATATCAATTAATAAGTATTACGATAAATAGTGAATTGTAATAGCTAAATTTCACACAGCATTACATCTACTGATTAAAATTTAAATATTTTACACTTAGCATGCAATTACCATGCACAACTAAAATCGCAGAATATTGTCTTTAATTTATAATAAAAATTATTTTTAATAAAACATGTTAAACCTTCTTTTTAAAATAAAATATTACATGTTATTTTACTTTGATGTAAACCTCGAGATATTCTCATGAAAGTGAATCATCTACACTTGCTGCGCTTGCATCTACAGCTTAAATACTTTAATTGAAAAATTGTCCGATGTAATAGCGTTTTAGTTGTTTTTTATAAGAAATAGCCATAAAAAAGCCAAAGTAAATAAATTTTTTAAGATTAAATGTTGATCAATTCAATACCTGTTTAATATGTCAATTAGAATAATTTTTTATATTAAAACGAATATATCAGTACTATTATTTTACAGAAAATTAGACCGCGACATAGAGATCCATTGTTCCATTAAAGTATATAATAAACCACAAAATAAAAAAAAAGTTTGGAGAAAATTATCAGGCGTTATAGGCGTAATTACAGAACCTACCGTGGTGTGACATATTTATGTGACAACTGTCAAAATAAACACTTTATTATCTGTAACTATACTCTCGCTGATTAATGGAAAAACTAACTATGAAGTATGAAACATCTACCAAATTAGTAAATGCAAAAAAGCCGCACTTAAAACATCACAACACGTTTTTAGTGATCTTAACCAGTCAACAACTATTCAAATTTGAAGAAAATACGTTATAAAATAAATTAAAAACTCTCTTTTGAAATTTGAAATACTTCAAATAACTATATTTATTAATATTTAAAAATTTTTTTTTCCTGGTTTGTATAAAGACAAGCGCAACATTGATGTATAAAACAACTAACAAGGTTTTCTTACGATTTCTTTATATCTTCTTATCCATTTTCTATTTTAGTTATAACACTTTCTTTTAAGATTTTTACGCTTTAGGATAATCCTGGAAAAAATTTCTCAAATGTATTAACCGAATCTTTCGGTTAATTCTCAATAATGGAATTGACCGAATTGATAACAAAAATACAAACTTCGTTAGGTCATTGGAATTTATTAAATAAGTCATTAGCAAATAATTGTATCATATGTACTATAGCCACAATCAATTAAAGAACTAAATAAGTGATATAACAAAAAACACTATATATAAAACCACTAGATAACTATTTCACCATTATCATCAGCATTACAATCAGTGTTTGATGTTTGTTTACTTTCGACAAATCTCTGCACAGATAATAATTGCAAGGCAATTATCCTAGTGCATTACAACTTCTCATCTTTTCAGATTCCGCCGTAAATCTTTTGGCATATAAAATCTGCCTTCACTGTTATATATTAACCATATATATATATACACTGTTAAAATTAACCATAAAATAACTTTCAAGTTGGTTATTGGTTCCTACGAGCCAGGTGCCTTACTTAACCGTTTTTATTTTTATCATTAAATATAATATACGACAACGTATATCACACACATTTGCTGGGTAAATATTTTAACGTGGTTAAGTTTTCTGAAATTTTTAGTTTTTAGGAGTTATTTCAATTCACAATAACTACTATTATATTATATACTATTATTTTTCATATAAGTCTTTTTCCGGATATAAAAATAAAATATAAAATACAAAATAAAGAAATAAATATATAACTGCAAATTTTGTCTAAATTTTCTTTCCGCTATATTTAATTTATTTTTTATTTATTTAAAACATCATCTTAACAATACTATTCATTCAGTATCAAAATATTATTAAAACAAAATACTTACATTTTTTTCTATTAATTAATTTTCATTGAAGTTAAAGTTTCCAGACTTTTATTAAAATAAAAAATTTACATATCAGAATTTTTATTATATTAGAACTATAATTAAAGTAACAAATACAACCCGGTTCAGATGTTGTAGACGCTAATATAAATAGTCATCTACATCCAGACTAACTCCATAAATGACATCTACAGGAATAGTGAATACAACGGTTTGATATCAACAACATCAATAAACACAATAAGTGGTAAGCAAAACTAAAAGCTTCTAATTTTTATTACAAAAAGAAAATATTATTATTATCAATTCAATTTTAAATGCAACTTCAATTAAACGAAACAATTAAGGCTCAACAGCCTCAAAACAAAACCAATAATTGTTATAGTACCAAAACCTCATACAGTATGTCACTCATACGCAACGTTAACCACAATTGGTGGGTTCGTAGATGGATTCTAATAAATTGCGTGATGTGATTATAAATGTATACGATTATGTTATAATGGTAGTATGTTATTTAATAATTAAACTTTAAAATTTAAATTATAATATATATTTTTATATATACTGCATCAGTTTTTTATTGCAATTTTTTATTTCTATTATTAGACTGTTTATTTTGACTAAAATTTTACCTTATATATTGTTGGTTTGTATGTTATTGCTCTGTTCAACTCCATTTAAAGCCAAGGAGTCACTTTTTACTTTCATTACTTGTAATTCAGTTTGGTACGTGTTTATTACTATTAAGTACTTTTCTCTGTAATTTTTATATTTATAAAAAGAACATTTTTTTCCATTAAAATACAATGAGTTGTTTTAATTAATCAGCCCACAGCGCTTAATTACCCACGGACATTGGCATATATATTGACCTGCTGTCATTTTTAAGCCCACTTGGGGCTTAATGTTACGAAAATATCAATAATTATTAAAAATATAAATTATTCTTCTTTTATAAAGTGCAGTCTGAAGTGCATTGAGCAAATGTTGTTGATTATAATTGAATTTCAGGAGAGAAAATGTTTAAGTAATTAGCTCAAGAATGTCATAATCAATTCAAATCAATTTTACCATAGAAAAGTGCACTTTGAACTACTCTGAATCGAAAAATACGAATTTATTAAACATAATGAAAATATTTAGTTTTCACTTAGTTAAATTATTTAAAATAATATCAATAATACTACATATATGTACACTATAGTACACAGATTAAAAACAAGTCAATAAACTTTCGTTTATAAACAAGTTAATTTTAATGAAAGTTCAGTGATTCAAGGAAATAGTAATCAAACAAACTTTGGAAACTCAATGAGTCAAAAGTTGGAAGAAGTTTTGAGGCATCCTAAGTTTGAAATTGTGATGGTAGACGAAGTTGTTTAAAACTTAAGATATTTTTATTTTTGATGAAGTAAGTTAAAATAGAAAAATTCAAAAACTGTTAAGAATAATAATAAATTCGCAACTAAGGAGTCACCAAAAAATGTTTGGGATATAACTACAAAATACTAAATTTCTGCAAAATTTTTGAATGAAAAAACGTGAGTTGACGAAACTCAACAGAGGACCATAGAGTAGATTGCTAATCACAAACTCATCATTTATCAGACAAACTAATCTCAAACTTTTGTTACATACGACCTTAAAAAGATCTTTAAAGTCCTTATTGGAGTCGAAATCGTTGTCATGTTCAGAAACTCTGAAGTAATCCAACAATAATATCAACTACAACTACTACAGCAACTAACAATCATAAATAGTTCTGAAGTCTATTGCAAGCATAAAGTTACGATAAGCAACAGGAGACGGGAAACATACAATGGTCCACAAACTTAGTTGTAGTCAATAACATCAACAACAAAAAAATAACTGAAAAGAACCACATCATAATGAAGTTGAAAATATCAAACGTGACAGAGAGAAGAGCTGTAAGGCTACATAAAATAAGTTTAACAAGAAAGTCAGTGTGTAGGGCAGGCTAAGGCATAGTGTGTCATATGTCGTTAGCATGCGTCTTACAATAATTTACGATGGACAGAAACATGTAGATGCACTCACTTGCTTGAGCTTTGGTAAAAACAATTTAAGAATAAAATGTGGAATAAAAAAAATTTTAACATTTCATGAACCAAAGAACACTTTCCTGAAATAAAACAGAAGTTCTATTATAGTTATTGTGACTTTTGTCTAAACATTTAAAAATATATATGGTACATTAATATACACCCAACTCTCCCAAGTTACCTTTAACAACATTTTAGAATTAATAAAATAAAAATTGAATATGTACACATTACGGTTAGATGGATTAATCTAAAATATAATCACTTGACAAGCGATGACTATTACAGTTTCCTAGAATCCTTGGTTTGATGACAGAATTCGTTCCAATTTTTCATAATAATTACACAAAAAAGAAGTAATTATGCCATCTATCGTCAATCAGAAAAGGAAATTTTACTATATAAGTGGTATTAACAACAATTAAAAGCGTTATTTGCGCTAATAATTGCAAGCTATCGATAGTTTATATTTTTTATCGATGATAAAAATCGATTACAGATCATTTTTAATGATATTGACAAAAAAAATTATTAAAACCAATCAATAAATAATCAACTAATTAAGTCCTATATTGAAAGCATATACCCTTGTAACCTTTTTAAATTACACAGTGAATCGCTTGACTATACCTATGTAAACAAGTAATATTTATTAAGTGAAAATTAAAAAATTTTGTTCATATATATTTGCATTGGTTCCTATATTGACATATTGGAAGAAGACGAAGTGTATGTGCTTGCACTTGAAAAAATGCAAAACTGTTCTACCAATAATAGAATAGAATCTATAATATTAATAGAATAGAGTAGAAAAAAACAAAAGTATTTAAAGTTTGAATTTTAAAGTTGGCAATGCTTTTCATTTTTTCTTTATGTTTGTTTTAATAAGCATTGAATTTTTTACTTAATGACATATTTTTTGATTATCAGTTAACAAATATTTCAAAAATTCTTTGGAAGCAAATACTCGGAACTCACCTCAAATTAATTGATGTGGAAGTCTGTGTTGTATTATTGGTAAGTTGAAAAACATTTTTATGCATATTAACAATTTTTTTATTTATACTTATTTGTGTATATCTGGGTAATATTAAAAAAAAAAAGCCCCATTGCAGTTTGATATTTGAAAATTAATGGATAGCTTATTGAAATCTTGCTTGAATTAATCGATATTTGTATATTTATGTGTACTTCAGAAATAATACATAATAATTTAAAATGTAAATAATTGTATGTAATAATTAGACATTATTAGAACTTCGGTGCGACGGCACTGAAGGCACAACACTTTTATCAACTTTTTCAAAATGCTAATATCTTGTCAATATATGACAAACGATGCTTCTAGCGTTTTTGTTACAATTACGGTGATGTTATGCAGACAGTCATGGTCCACGCAAACATGAAATTATTGTTGCTCTCAATATAAATACAAAATTTTAGGAGAGAAATTTCGGTTAAACTTGTATCACGATAATGAGGCTTTCTGTGCCTCACCATGTTGGTCAAAATTGTGTTGATTACTAATATGTTTGAAAATTTGTGTCTTTTAGGAGCAAACATATATATTCTTGTATGAATATAAAGACATGTCGAAACATATTAAAATTTTATGATTCTGATTTGATAGTATTATTTGAGTGAAATATGTAAAACAATGTTTATCTTATAGTTTACAATAGAAATCGGGCATTATTTGAGTGCTTGAACAACAACGTTGACATGACAATATTTTGCATTAAATTTTCTTTAGATTCATCGCTGACCAAATATTTGTCGCAACTACAAAATCAAAGCAGTTTCACATCTCCAAAAAATCAGTAAATGGACGTTATTTAAAGCCGCACAATGTATCCTTTTTTTATAAATATTTTTTTTGAAAAATTTCTCAGATGTGAAATTTCGCATTGCAGATAGTGGTTACAGAGACAATAGTTAAGCTATAGATGCCTTTGAAAAGGAACATACGGCAAGCAATCATCAGATATGTGTCAGGTTATCGACAATTACCCCCAGTTCTGTAAGATATTCAGAACAATGCATTTTTACCTACAAGTAGGTAAACAAGATCCAAAAAATATATTAAAATAAAGTTTTTGAGACACGATTTAATTATCGCTGTACATTGAGCGTGTTTTTGCTGCAAGTATCTTTACTTTCTTGACAATTTCGCAGTTTATGTTTCTCATCCAGATTTCTGTTGTTTTCTTTTTTTGTCACAATGGTTAAAATTATTTCATCAATGTTTGTTAATAATCTTACTAGGGTTATCTTGTCTGATGTGCAAACAATAACCTAGTTTTACTTTGTAGATCAGTTGAGATTAATATATATAATTGATTTTTATGTAATTGTTGCATTTACTTAAAAATGCTACTTAATAATGGACCAGTAATCGTTATCAGATATACTGAAAAATCCCATACAAAATATAACTGCAATATTAAATAAATATAATCTGTTTGATAAAATGTGAGCAAGGCTAAAAAGTTATCCAGTGAAATAAAGAGTAATGATTAGGCTAAATCAGGAAAATAACAATCATAATCTAGTTTACTTCTTCTTTTCATGATATTTGAGTGTACTTTTGCTAACAAAATTGTGGGAATCAAAAATAATGCTTTAAAGTTGTTAGTTAAAATTTGATGGTATCAGTTTAGAATACAGTAGTCATACTAACTTTACAAAAATAAATTTGGAAGATGAGTTGCCAATCTACATAAGCTATACTGGTTTAATTTTAATTACATATTTTATTCTTAATTTCAACTTTTAAATTATAAATTCGCATTTTAATTTTTATCTCTTCATTAATAATTATTGATTTAAATACAATATTTATTTTAGTCTTGCAAAGGCTTAACTGAATACTCAAATAGTAAACCATCAAATTCTCATCATTAGTTGTAACCAGAAAATTTCAAGGTGAAGTATAGTAAAAAAGAGTTTTTAATAAAAAAAATCTAATGATTTTCTTCAATTAAATAGATGTTATCATATTTCTTCAACATTAAATACAATGAAGTCGACATCCAAGAGGTTCTCATAAATCTACTATATGCCGTATTTTCAATCGAAAGTAATAAAAAGTACTTACAACCATTGTTAATAGCAGGAATTTATGTTGTGATTGTGCTACGCCTCTTAAATACTTACGACTGGTTCCATGATGCTGTGAGTGTATAAAATATCAATAATTTTTGCTTAAATATTTTATATATTCCATGGTATTAGTTGCGCGTTTTACATGCGTTCCTACAAAATGCTTGTCATCTGAGAAGAATACTATCCATATTTGGTAGGGCATATCCTGAATTAAAGAAGGAAGAAATACATGAAATGAATAAAAAAGATGAAAACGATATAAAAGATGAAAAAGATGAAGAAGATGAAGAAGATAAAATAGATGAAAAGGATGAAAAAGATGAAAAAGAAAATATATTTGAGAATATTATGGATGAAGAAACTATTTTCTTTGAAAAATTGCAATGTAGAAAAAGTCCATATGTCTCGGAAGATCTTGGTCTACCTCCCGCTAAAAGAAATTTAAATGAGTTCGTAGAATACACGATGTCACCAGAAGACCTGTTGAAGCATGTGAAATTTATCGTAGATAGTGATCCCACCATCATTGTTTGTGAAAGTGATAAAGTAGATGTTTCAATAAACGGCATTGCTGATCCAGATCACGTTAATATACTCGATATGTCAACTGATGATTTAAAATGTAGTTTAAACAGTAATAATATCAGTGACGAAACTATTTGGAGTGGCTTCGGCGAATCTGAAAATAGTGATTTATTGAATATTAATCTTGACAACACATTTGGCATGGCTTCATCTCATGAATCACAGTTTTCATCAGCTTCACAGGATTTATCTGTCCTTGTTCCAGACTTAGTAACATTTACGGATTCTGAAACACATACGCTAAGTGAGTTTATAATATTAGATTATGTATATCTATGATATGTTTAATTTTCCAGTTAATGAACAATCAAAACCTTCTGTGTCTGATGAATCTGGATATAAAAGTGCCTCATCAATGTTTGTTGAAAACATTGAAAACAAGACATTACCAGAAGAGCTCTACAATAGTATGACAACTAATTCAACTTCCAGTGACGTGGATAATATAGAATAAGGTTCCATCACTTTTTTTTGACAACAAAACCCATTGTCATTAAATCATTTTTAGCAACAAACCTCAAATTCAAATAATTATTCAAGAAACGTTGCCGATTGAATACATATCAGAAATTCACCATTTAAGAGATTGAATTAAAAATTAAAATTAAATTAAAAAATTATTAAAATTAAATGTATATATTACATTACTTTTATTTATTATAAATTAATTTTTGTTATTTTGTAAAATGAACAAATAAATATTTAAATTAAAATTATTTTTATTTTGGATTTAATATTCATTATCTCGATTTTATTCATTAAAAATGATTATATAAAATAAATATATTATATATGAAATTATTCGATAATAAAGTGTATTTTAAAAATTTTTTTGTAATATGCAAATATAAAAATTGTATAAAACAATTATAAAATGGTAAATAGTATTAAGGAAATTTATTTTTTTAATTAAATTAATATGTAAATATTGGTAAAAATACTCAATGATCTTTAGAAATATTTTTGAATTTAATTCATCGTATGTAATTTTTAGAGTATAAGTACCAAATATTATAGTTTTACTCTAACAAATTTAAAGCGAAGACCCTACCCCGTACTTAGCTTGTGTTATTTAAACTCAGAGCTTTGAAAATCTGTTTCACCAACAAATACAGTTGTTGTGTTGTATTAGAAAGAATGCATAAACCAACGCTATACGCTATACATAATTATAATTAACTAATATAATTAAATTTTGAATCAAATTATAGATCAGCTCAATTATTATATTTCAATTGGTCTTTTTACTATTTTGAGTTAGAATTTAAAACTATAGTTTTTGGTAAGATCTATGTATAGGAATTTAAATTTAGTCGGAAAGTGATTCCCTGATGGGTTTACAATCTTAATTGAAATGCAGGATATCACTTTTAAATTAATTTTATTAATGAAAGCCAAAAGTTGTCAAAAAAAAAACAAAACATCCATTTAGCTTATACATTAGAAATCTTTATTATTTTTATAAGCAATAAAAAATAATTTAATTGAATATTTGTGTGATGTCTACTAAAGGAAAAAAAATAGTTCAGAATTCCTAAGAGATATTATAATTTGTGTACACATCCAGTAACAGAATCTCTATTCCTGATAAAAAAAATAAATCGTAGGTCATAGGCTTAATGTATATCGACTCCTTTTCCCCATGTTAGTTACAAAGTAAAATTTCATAAGTATTCGAAGAACCAGGAAAAAATGCAGTCGAAATGTAATTATTGAAAGGTAAAGACATTCGTATGTCCAGATAGTCTTGTGCAGCAGTCAAAAAGAGATAACTTCCGATATTAATATTAGAATCGTTTTACATAAAATTTTAATTTTCAAATTAAAATTCATAAATAATGGAATAAAAATATTTATTGAAACTTCATTGATTTAGATTTCATGCAGGAAAATGTAATGAGTTATGAAAATAAATTATAAATACAATTATCAAGAGCTGAAAGGTCCGATGTTGGCGTTCCGTAAATGTACATGAAGGTACATAATCGAAGCATGTTTGTGTAGTATTTTTATATATGTCAGTTTTATGAAACAACTTTATTGCTTGGTTCTTTTATTTAATAATCTCTTATTCCAAAATACCATATCTCAATGCAATGACTGGAAATGTCTAAAGATGTTTTATAGTATCTATCGTTTTATAGAAAACTGTGGTAGTATATATTAATTTTTATTGATTAATTTATTTATTTCAATTTAATAATAAAACAAATGATGTTATCGACTCCCTAACATTATGTATTACCATATATGGAGTAGAAACAGCCAAAACAGCCTCTTCGGCGAGACTTATTTCCCCTTGGAACCGCTTTTGCATTGCTTCGAAGTGGGTTTCTTTTATATTGGTATTTCACACCATGCTCTTGTAATTTTCGTTTTGTATCCACACTTCCACTTTTTTGCCTCGTTTTCTTGATGTCTGCAGTATTTTTTAGTCAAGTTTCTGATTTTCCTAAATCTAATTTCTTCGCTTTGAGGACTTGAATCACATATGACTTTATCGTTCGTCACTTCTTTGGGTTCACTCTCATCTTTTTCACATTTTCGGTATTTATTGGTCCAATCTGGGCTATTGTCTCTTCTCTAAATGATAGTCACCTATAACAGTAAAAGAAAGTGTACTCTGTGTCGTCACAGTCTCCGTCGCCATTAATGCAGTCGACTAGATCTGCCTTCCCCATGTGGAAAGGCATACATATTATGTTTGGTTAAGAAGTAAGAAAATTATTAAATTAAATTTGTGTTATCAATAAAATTTAACAATAATAAATAATATTAATAATAAAATAATAATAATTTTGAAAGACAAGAATATGTATAATTATTAAGTTCAACAACGATAAGTGGATGTGTGCGTGTAATATAAAATTCAAAACTACTAAATTTTTGTGCTAATTTCCAATCACAATTTCAATTAAAAGTTATGATAAAAATAGACACCGCAATTAAAAAATAAATGTTAATATCTATCTGTGCTTGAAAACAATTTATAATCTACCCACAGTTCATTAGATGCAGTTACTCATCTATCATTTCATGGTATTTTATTATAAATATTCTTCTTTATGTTGCGCATAAAATCGTAATACACAGACCACATCACGTTCTACTCCATTACTTCAGCTGAAGGACACTTTAAGTCCTTCTTCCAGTTTGTTGGCAAAAAGTTAAAACTAAAAGTTGAATCTTAAAACTTTTGCTGTTTTTATGATGTTAACATCTATAAATGTTGCGAGTAATAAATTATATGTTTTAGTTTTTAATTTTTGTTTTTCTTTATATTTATTTTTAGGTAGTTAAAATCTGGGTCAGGATATGATATTCTATCAATTAAATACGGTTATTAAATTAATGAATTTTACATGTGCTCAACTAAGCTATATAATTTATTTATTAAGCAGTATTATTTATTCAGACATATCGAATGTTTAGAATTATACCATATGAGGAATATATTCACAATCATTGCAAGATTGTTTAAATGCTTCTGTATCTATCTGGCACATATCTCAGCAAATATCTCTAATTTAAAAAATATATTTTTTATAGTTTTTATTTTAAAACCTATTCAAGATATTTTCAACGGCAACTCTTTTGACAACTTGCAATTAATTTATTTACTCCACGTTTTACTGTTTCTATGTAAATAGATTATATATGAGAACACTGTATCAATTACAAAGCAATTGTTTAGTTTTCCACACGTTTAGTGTCAGTTCTGAATTTTACTGAAATATGAAAGGGTTTAAATTTTTATATTGGCAACATTGTTTCCAGTGGCAACCAAATGATTGGACAAATGACTGATGTTTTATAATTAGGACCTTTTGACACATCAACACGAAGAAACTTGTTGTTGTTATTTGGAGTGAAGAAATGACTCATACAAAGTTGTTGTCCGTCGGAACATTATAGACATTATTATCAATGACATTATTGCAGAAATCTTTCATTGAGCGCATTATTTCACGTTCTGTGTGTTCGCCATAACGATCATGTGATTTCACTCTCGAGATTTTTTATAGGAATATATGAAATCACATATTCTCATAACATCAAATCAACTTTTTTTAAACATAAGAGTCTTTACTTACAAAACCATACATGTTTATGCAGTGATCAAACAAAATCGAACTCACTTGTAACGTATAAATGTGCGGCCAACTCTTGTGCACATCTAGCGAAAGAAATTCGTAGGTGCTACTTCTAAAATCGGAGAGACAAAATGTAAATGAAATGTACGGTGATGTAAGCCTCAAATTTTAGCGCACAACTAAGTGGTGGGCAATTCAATATGTTGGATTGATACATATGCATGCAGAACAGAATCATTATTCTCATATATTTCGCACTAAATAAATCTTTCTCATAAATCATTTTCTCATCATTTCTCATAAAGATGCACAACTAATGATAGAAATTTGTGAATGCAGTTGCTTAAAGGGGAAAGACGAAATATAATAGAAATGTTCTGCAATTTGAGCTGCAAACATATGATCACACCTTACAACTATAACGGCTAAGAGAAGATAATTGATCAAGTTTTCATAAACAATTCTATATAATTGTTTTTGCTAAAAATTTAATTTTGAAAAATATATATATGTGTATGTAATAAATAACATTAATTGTCCATATAAGGAAATTTAATGAATTTATACATTTTATTTGACTTTTTGTGAATTACGATTAGAGCAGTCGCCACAGATATTGACATACAATTAACTGATTAATGGATTCTTTTTATGTACTTATCACAGGATAGGACAATTTTCCTGCGTTTTATCTCACTTTGCAAATGAATTTCTCTAAAATTATAAAAAACACTTTAAAAACACGTTAAATTAAATGTAGAAAAAAATCAATTTCAAAATATGTGATTCACAAACAAAATTTGAAATTTCTGTTCTAGTTTCAAATATTTGCTTTTTATTTTCTATCGAAAACAGAAGATTCTCATGTACTTCTGGCTACTCTAATCTACTTGTATTGCAAATGCAACTGTCAGCAGGAAAGCTAAAAAATCGGTTGTAAACTTCAGTACATCAGGCAGTACGTGATGTGCTGTCAACCGCAAGTGCCAACAGTAAAACACTTATTCTTAAGACTGCAACTATAACACTTGTCCCTTTTCTTGATGATACTTGAAGATAAGGTACGTTTCATTCCAGTAATATTTTCTTCCGCCATTTTATTTCGTTGTCCTTTTTGTTTTAGCTGTAGTTGTTTTCTTAAAAGGAATGTATCTTTTTGTTTGAAAGTCCACTTTTAAATTTTATTTGCTTTAACACAAACAACAGAACTATAAAAAAACTACAATACTAAGATTTAAAGTTACCCCAAATTTGACAATCTCAAGCATTGTTGACTGCTGTTGACATATTTTTGAGCTCGAAAGTTTTATTAAAACGATTTGTTCCAGTCAAAAGGTAAATAAAAGGTGGGATGAAGAATTTTTGGTCTACCATATAAGAATAGTTTCATAAAAATAATCTACTGCACCGTTTCAAAGTAATAAATTTCAGTTGCTAGTGGTAGTTCCACTCCGTCCAACTAATCGTAAATACAATGAAGATTTTAAAGCAA